AAAAAAAAAAAAAAAAAAAAAAAAAAAAAGAAAAAAAAAAAAAAAAAAAAAAAAAAAAAAAAAAAAAAAAAAAAAAATTATTATTAATAAAATTTTTGATAATTTATGAATTTTTAATTGTCATTTTATTATTAAAATAGTAATATATTGAATAATAATAATCAAAATCAAATTCAGCAATAATTCAATTGTTAAATAATATAATTTTAATTAATAGATATTATTATAACTTGAAATAAATTAATTATTATAATCTTTTGATTCAAATTCAATTAAATATTTATGAAAAAAAAAAAGTTAATAAATATTTTTAATATCTTTTTAATTCTCTATTTAATAGAATTTAATATAGATCAAAAGAAATACATAACGAAAAAAAAACAAAGAAATAATAAGTCAAATTTATATTATAGGTTATATTTACTTTTTTTTCTAAATAAATAAATTTTCCTGTATCATTATATCAAGTCAACATTAAACTATAAATAACGCGTACATACAACAAATAAAACAAATTATAAATAGTAATAACAATAAACAAGTTTTACGATTGTTTCATGTGATCGAATGTAAACAATTGTATGTGATCATGGCTTAGCCATGTAAGCTGCGTAGAATCATGAATTAACGTGGAATTCGACTTAGTTTCCAGTTTTCATCGTTATTTATAAGAATCTACCAAAAAGCCACATAGATTTTGAAAGGGTGGGACAAACACCGCCTATTTGAAAGAAAAAAAAAAAAAAAAAAGAAAAGAAAACATTGTTTTTAGACAGCAAAAACCAAATTGTTTATGAACCCTGTGAAAATACCTCGTTCTACGTAGTAGAAAAGAGTAAAATTTAAAAATCTGATAAACAATATGGCCTACGAAGAAACGGATAAATTGGAAATTCCCATTACGAAATTACAGTGGGGCCTGCGTGGAGCTCAAGTCTTTTTTGCATTTCTCTCAATGTGTTGCATTGCGGCCGTCATCGCCTTTGATAATAAATTCATGTCCAGCTCTATACTTTCAAATATGCACCTTTTTTTTTTTATTATCTCAATGTTTTTCGCGGCAGCAATCGTCACTATCCCTCATATCTATTTAAAATATGGCAAACTTAAAGCTGCAGCCAGGGCATTAAGAGTAGTCAGGATCGAGTTCGTTCTAACGGCAATTTGGTGTGTTATATTGACCTTAATTTCGATGGGATTAAGTATTGAATTGGGATTTAGAGATTGCGATCCCCAGTCACCACAATTCAGTAATTATACAAACGGACCCAACAACTCTACCTTCATTAGTGGTTTGCCAACTACATGTAGAACAGAACGTGCGGGAGACGCATTTGGATGGTTCGCTATCGCAGCATGGTTGGTTTCTCTCGCTGTTGTAGCGAAAGAATGGTATGACAACCGACGTCAACCTTTACCAGGGCATGACTCTCATCGAGATGAAGTTACAATGCACACCAATTCTACGCGCTCATCATTGGAAGTTCCCGTCACCGAGAATCCTTACAGGAAACAATATCAAGAACAGGTACACATGCCAAATGTGATTCCGCAACCAGAGCAATCGGCTTACATCGATTATGCACAACCGCTGCCACCTGAATATCAACAAATGCAACATCCTGGGATACCGCCCCAACATCAACAAGGCTCCCCCGTCATCTACCCTACGGGGATGCCTGGACAACAGCAACCATCTGGAGGTCCCGCACCCGGTGGCATTAGTTTCCCCGAACCTCATCGTTATCAGTAGTGTTTTTATTTAAGAAAAATTGTACATTTTCAAAATTAACATCATAATCTTTTCTGGTGTCCTTTGTAGTAATCAATAACAAGTCGTCATTCGTTTATTACACGATATACTACCGATGTATGCTATTTTCTTTTTATGGTAACAATCCAAGTGGTATCTTGGTACGGTGTAAATTATGAAAGCTATGCATACTATTCTTTCGATTAGATCTAGTTATGCTGTAATATACATTACTTTTACATTCTAAAAGTCCTATTGATTTCTCCTAACTTTTCCGCTTGATCAATCACACTTCGTTATCTAAAACCGGTAGAAATGTGGCAAAAGTAAGGTAACTCGTATGACCTCTAGCGTCTGTTGGCGTCTTGGATACATATAAATTTGGTGGATCTTTTCTGGGTTGAGATTTAGCAGAATCAAACGTTTCTTGTTCTCGGCGTTTACGTTTCTTATCCTGCTGAACTTCTATCTTTGACACGGCATCTTTCACGGTATACACGGGAATCGTGTGAACTTCATGATTACGAATTAGACATTCAAACATTTTTATTTCTGGAATACGAACCGTGTATTAGGAAAAAAAAACCAAAAACAAACGTCGCGTGTAAAAGAATCCGGTTTGTCACGTGTAAAATCACGTACCGACAAATCCGTTTTCATTTAAAGAAGTACAAGTTCGCTGTACTTGCTCTATGCAAGGGCTAAAGCAACAGATTTTTCCTATACGTCGTTGCTTAGGTGACGATAACACATGGTAATGGATCAATGAAGAAGTAGGGATTTACTGGAGGAAAGGGAGTTAAACAAAATACCTTGAAAGCTGCTTTGGCCGATGAGATAGCATCCCAAGGTGCAGGCAGGTCCAAAAAGACTAAATGCACAATAGCGTTATCATTTAGGTTTCAAATGCACGGGTGACACAAGATCAAAATAGGCAGGCTTACCGGCATTCACTAAATCGGTTATCCCAAATCCACTTTTGTAAACATCTCTACAGTCCATGGTGATTAGATCCGAGAGACCATGCTCTTCGAAATCTTGCCTGATAAGCAAATGAGCAATTTAATCAATCATCATGAATCGTATATCTATAAAATATACTCGCGTACTTGGCAGCTTTTGCCCTTTCTTCGTGATATTCAAAAGTGTACAAATGACCATGCGGTGCAATGGTTCTCGCCAAAGAATGCGAGAAGGACCCACTGCCCGTTCCTAAAAGTGCAAATTGTTTTTTTTTCTTTATCGAGGATAAAATTCGCGTCTATATAATCGATGACAAAATTCATTTTATAAATCGTATCTTTACCTGATTCCAAAACGATGGTTCCTGGCTTTAGATCCAAATAAGTTGTTATAAAAGAAATGTCGGCAATGTACAAGATTTGTGTTCGATGAGGAACAACATATGTCCATAGTTCTGGCGTTGGATGCAAGAGATACATGAACCCTCGTCCGTTGTGTGAAGGCATCTAGGCAGAAGTATTATTAACCTTAAAAGTAAAGTGAACGAGGAGAGATAAACTTAAAGTTCAATAAATGCCACGCACGGAAATGAATGAAATACCTTGGTACCATACTCTTTTCCAATCATATCCGAATGCTTAAAGGTACCGAATTTATTATTGTACGTTGAGCTTGAATCGATAATCAGTGGCGTCATGTTCTCGCGAGTCTAAATTCGAGTACGATTAACACACGGCGAAGGGGGAATAATCGCCTTCAATTTTCAGAAGAAAAAAAAAAAAAGGTAACGAAGCCTGCCACATATGCTATAACCAAGTCGCCTTCTTCAATATAGGTCTTGTATTTCAAAAAACTCATTTTTTCGATGTTGAAAGAAAATTTCGGGCTGCCGCTTATTCACAATCGCGATTCGATTTTTTCAGTCACATGACAATGTCTATAAATAATCATTAAGAATGATTTTTGGTAATCACGTTTCAATATGAAAGTTTATAGCTGCTTGCCTCCTGCACCGAATTGGAATTCCTCCAAGGCCTCCGGTTTGTCCATAAGAGCGAATACGCTCGCCTATGCTTCCTCGAATAATGTTGTACTTTTCAACGCCGAGACCTTGCATTTTGAGGGTGTTCTTATCGGGCATAGTGCTCGGGTGAACGCGTTAGCTTTTTGCGATATCCTTTGTGCCACCGGAGGCGCCGACACAACTGTAAGGTGTTGGGATGTAATTAATAGGAAACAACTGTCCACCTTATCGAATCATAAGGTATCACCTATTCCTTACCTAATTTTCGTCGAGTAAGGCTTAACGTGTGTTTTTTCTTAATATTTCCCTTAGAGCGAAATTTATGCTTTGGAATGGTTGACAAATAGAAAATTCGTTGTAACAGGTAACCTTTCATTTTCCTCGTGCCAATTTTTTGAACTTTCTGTCACAATAATATATTCTATTGATTTGCAGGAGATAAATCTGGAGATATTTCTGTGTGGGATCCATCGAAAAACAAGTCAAATAAAATTTATTTTATTCAATCACCGATCTGTGATATTGCAGAATCTCCTTCAGTAGAAGATTCTTTAGCAATCGGGTAAGTTAAAGAAAGAGAATATTTGAGTTTACCTAGTTTCAACCCACGTCAATATATAGCATGGATGTAGAATCATTTTCATTGTAGGTTTCAAAACGGCGCAATAATCATAGTCAATGTCGATTCGAACTTAAGCGGAAAGATCGTTCGCCAACTGAAAGGACACGACATGGAGATTCAGAGTCTATCGTGGGAAACGCCTAAAGGTAAAGATACGGCTAGATTAATTGACATAGTGGACGAACTAATTCCTAAAACTCAATTCTCTTCGTAATTTCATAAATCACATAGATTGCTCACTCGTCGCTAAGTATACTTTTCTTGCTTCTGGATCTCGCGACAAGACAGTTCGTATTTGGAATGTAGAAGAGGAATGCCTCGAGAAAGAGATCAGTTTACCTCAGCCCATGCATCATCTCACTGAGCAACAGAAATCGAGGCTGTGGGTAGCCGTCGCTTGGATCCCAGAGAGCAATAGGGTGCTTTCAAGTTCGTACATGTCAGTATAACGTTCCTAATTGTGCATTCATTTTCAACCTACTTCCCCAATATATCTGATATTTCGTGCCTCCATATCTTTTGTCAAAGGGGAGACTTGCTCATGTGGGATTTAGACATTTCTGCTACAAAGTATCAGAAATTTGTAAGCGGTCACACGCGCAGTGTTTTTACCATAGTGGTTTATCTCTGTGGCACCAAAGCCGTTACTATCTCCATGGACCAAAAGGTACTTTTTACGCAGAAAAAAAATTTTTTTTTGGAAATTAGCACACCTAACGTTATGTGATGAATTAATTATATAGTTAATTTTATGGGATATTGTACAAAGAAAGCCTATCGTTTCGATTGGATGCATTCCTAAACAAGTCAGTGACATCGATCTTTCGGTCGCCGATCCACATAGGCTAGCCATCGCATGTGGGGACAATAACATCCGGATTTGGGATATCGCCAACAGACTTAATCCTTTCAGCTGTGCACTGTACTGGAAGGGAATAAAAAATAAAATTACGTATGTAAGTATTTTAAATGCTTTTGATCCTTCATCGTTATATAATTATTTCTAATGAATGATAATTTTAGATTAAATGTCATCCGTCTCAAGAAGGTTTTCTAGCGTTTGGAACCGACTTGGGAAATATTGGTTGGTATGAAGTTTATAACGACAAATCGAAAACGTTCAACTCTTATCACAAAAGCAAGGTTTCTGCTATAAGATGGTGTAAATCTAGGTGGATGAATTCAGAACGGAATGACAAAGAATCTGATGATTATAATTTAATATTGAGTTGCGGAGGGGATGGAAACATACTTTTAAATGATATTACAAATCCGAAACAATCATCATCAATCAACGATAAGATAAGAGAGGCTAACCCGGAATGGATTAAAGTGATGAAGGTAATCGCCTACCCCCCCCCCCGTGAATGCATTTTTCTGTATCTCAATTAAAAAGAAAGTTATTTTATTTAATAGAACAAATCTGGTTATTTGCCAAAGCGAAGTGAGATCTCGCTTCATCCTAATGGCAGATTCTTGGTTGTCGGTAATGTTGATGGGAGTATAGAGGCGTATTATTTACCTTCTTTCAAGATCATCTATCACAATATTGGTCATAGAGCTACCATCAATAAACTCGAGTGGTGTCCTTCGGGTTCGTTCCTCATTAATCTTCCATCTCTTTTATTTTTCATCTGTGTTTCTCCTTTTT